TTCTTATATTTTTATTCACTTTAGGATGATGGCATATTAGTAATTCCCACAACAGCAGACCCCCCACCAAAGCTAAGTACGAAGAAGGGAATTTCTTCGGAGTTTCGTGATAGGATATTTGCATTATCAAGCATTTCAAGCGTGTCTGGTTGCTGTGAAGTAAGTTAACAATCACGTTTCAGTTATTTTCTGTCGACCGCTGGAAGAGTGACATGTTATTGTTGTTATAACATCGTATTGTCAGGTTGTTGTACCTTTGGGAACGCAGGATGATTGTCCCATATCCATTTCACTTTTAACATTCCATGGTGCTGATAAGTTTCTTCTAGACACAGTCTTGGATATTTTCTCAGCTCTTCAAGAGCAAGTCAGCATAGCGCCTAACATTTTATCGCCATTTCCTGATACCAACAGCGACATGGATGCCTCTGAACTATTGAAAGAAAAGGTTTGCCTCTATTGTCGATGCGATTAATAATGTCCGTCTTGATTCTGCCATGATGATGTTATTCGATGTGAAGTAGGTTCTTATTCAAGAACTCATAAGATCCTTTTTGCCAAAATTTACAGTTTCGGATTTAATTAAAAGATCCATTTGTTTTTCTCCTCTGCTTTTAAAAATTATGTGGCTGGTCAATGAAAAATAAATGTGATTCGACATCAGACGAGTAAGAAACGTGTAGTAATTTCCCGGGGATCCAGTGAAAGTCCTAGGTGAATCAGTAACAGTTTCAGATTTTGATTTCAGGCATAAAACTTCGAATTACAAACCATAAAAAAAATAGTTTCCACCTTTTCGGTCTACTCAACTGGTATTTCGATTTTCACTTCTCGTACTCCCTTTCGAGGGCCAAATTTGTTCTTTCGTGTTCATATACTGATTCTGCGGTTATGATCGTCACAAATTTTTGAGCTTTGATATTGGAAATATTGCCCAAACCTTTATATAGTTGCAGGAGATTCTACATGAAGTGAGGGCTCGTATGATCGCCAACTTTGTTTGCTTTCGCTTTGTTCGTTCTAAAACATCTGGGGTTGCCTGTTTTCCATTGTTCATAAAAAGTTGACTAGCTTACATATTCCAATATATTGTTATTGTTGATTAACATACTCAATTTTCTTAGTTGAACAGTTTATTAAAACAAAAGGAATGATTTGCAGGGCAATGCAGCTTTTAAAGGAAGACAGTGGAATAAAGCTGTTAATTACTATACAGAAGCGATTAAATTAAACGGGACGAACGCAACTTATTATTGCAACCGAGCTGCCGCTTACTTAGAGTTAGGCTGGTATGTTACCCACAAATATTTCAGTCAGCTATTTACTTGTTCTACTTGGTGTGTACTGAATTCATCAATTACTTGAATTTCAATACATGTAGCTTTCAACAAGCTGAAGATGACTGCACCAAAGCCATATTACTTGATAAGAAGGTAACGATCTGATTTATACTTGGCTATATAGAAACAACCAAACACACACAAACATACATTCAAAGGCAAAAACTAAAAGAAAGCATTACAAAAAATGCCAAATATCAACAAACAGAGACGAAGGATGGGAGATCCCTCATCGGTTGGGGAGGAGAACGAAACACCCTTTATAAGGGTGTGGAAACCTCTCCTTAGCAGACGCGTTTCAAGAACCTTGAGGGGAAACTTGAAAGAGAAAGCCCAAAGAGGATAATAACTGCTAGCAGTGGGCTTGGACCGTTACAAAGGATGGTTATGGAACTTTCTAGTCACTAACGGCCAAATAATGGTGTTTTACCTAGCCATAGACTCCGAGCGGCGGTCAAACAGAGGTGTGAATGCAAGATGCCATCATACTACCTCCTAATAGGGCTCCAATGGAATTTTAAAATTTGTTGCTATATGCACTAGATATGTTTAGACTAAAACTTCCTGCAGGTTTCTTTTTATTATTGCTGCTGTCTCTCTTAATTATTATTATAAAATTTATTCATGGGATAGCTTCCCGTGATGATATACTCTGTTACTATGTATGTCGAGTGTCACAATCGTACTCTTATGGCAGTGGAACAACGATTGTACAACATTTGTTCTAACCCTATGAACAAGTCAGCCATAAGAAATTCGGATTTCGCGGACAACGTCGGCGTATGCCTGAGCGTTGAGTCATGTTTGCGAAAAATGTTTTAAAAAACGTTAGCGGGGAAATACATTTGAAAACAATTTGAAAGAATTGAAGAATGTAACGTTATATGGCTATAAGTAAAGAAAGAAACATGACTTAAAATAGCATATAACTCAGAGTAGGAAGAATTGATGACTAGTCGCATTCCCATATAGTATATTTTGGGGCATTTTAGCCTTAGTGGGTGTAGACATGATTTTGGCGACCGGTTATGCACCTTCGTATTGACACAACATGAAAAGTAAAAGTCTATCTAAGATTAAAGCATGTAAAAGGGGTTTGGAACGGGCATGCGACCATGGACAACACATCCTGCACAAGCATGACCGGGACATCCGACATGCGGCCATAAGCAACACGCCTTGGACAAGTATGACGGTGACACTGAGCAGGAACGTATTAAGCCTTTGGTTTGAGTAGGAACGTATAAACATAACTCATTTTGATACTCTGTTACTATGTATATGCTGAGCTGGGTGTTTTTAGTCGTTAAAAAACAATCGATTTATCTTGACGTCAGACAATCTGCAAAAAAGATGATGATATTTCTTAACATTTCGTTTCTTCACGCAGAATGTGAAGGCGTATCTCAGACGGGGAACTGCCAGAGAGTCTCTTCTTCTCTATAAAGAAGCCATCAAAGGTGAGATGATTTTTATCATTAAAATATCTGAAGCTGCATTGTTTGCGTTCTAGAGCCGCTGTTTCTTTGCATGTGAACGTCTGCATTGACATGAGCATCTTGCTCAATCGATTAGGATTATGTAAACAACTTAAGAGAAAAATTATATAAACTTAGTATTAGATTGATTTTGTGCATCTAGCAGACCTTTTGGCTATCGTTAAGAACCCTGCAATTTCGAGATAGATTTGAATAATTGACACAAATCGACCTCGGAAAAGAAAACGGGGATGTCAAGTTTTGTCATTATAGACTAATGGTGGTTTCAGAACTGGCCATGGAATGCTTGCCTTTATATAGACGAGAGTGTTTTCTCTGTTAATGAAAGCGTGTTTCGGTGCACGTTCGATAAATATTTGCTTTGGTTTCTCATACTTTTGCAGATTTCAAGCATGCTCTCGTCCTCGAACCGCAGAATAAAGTTGCGAATCTTGCCGAAAAGAGATTAAGAAAACTGATCAGTTGAGGATGCAATTCTCGTATCGAAAACGAAAAGAAAACCCCAAAAAGAATAGCAAAAAGAAAACACAAAGCCAAGCTGATAGAAGCATTGTAATTGTGCATTGTCAAATGAAAATGAAGAGTTGATTGGGAAAGGAGTCAAGAGCCCAGCGGCTGCTGCCAATTTTGTGAGTATATATTCAAACTTTAGTGAACCTTAGTTTGGCACAGGACCATGTGGAATTCTTTTATCCATTGAACCGCGTGGGAAGTTTCAATTGAAAATTTGGGTGCTTGTTCAGTTGTGAAATATTCTCTTTTTTGATCTTTTTCTGAACCTGTTCACTGTGACCATTTACATTAGGTTGATCATAGAGAGTTTATAAGGAGGAAGAAAGCAGAAAAATGTTTTGAGAATGGTTGAAGTAAATGTTTGGAAGTTGTGTAACGACCAAGTCTACTGCTCAGTAGATATTGTCCTCGAGGGACTTTCCCTTTCGGACTTCCTTTCAAGGTTTTTAAAACGCGTCTGGTAGAGAGAGGTTTTCATACTTTTATGAAGAACGTTTTTTCCCGTCTCCCACCGATGTAAGATTTCACAATCCATCTCTCTTTGAGGCCCAACATCTTTGCTGGCATACCGCTTGCTTGGAGAGAGAAACAAGTGCCAGCGAGGATGTTGGATCCTAAACGGGGGTGGATTGTGAGATCCCACATCGGTTGGAGAGGGGAACGAATCATTCTTCATAAAGGTGTGAAAGCAAACGATTTTAAAAACCTTGAGGGAAAGTTCAAAAGGGAAAGTCCAAAGAGGACACTATCTACTGCCAGTGACATGATTTCGAATATTTGGAATGGACGGGTAAAATTCTTGTATTATGCAGAAGTTTTAATACCAACTTTAAGAGGACAATGAATACTTCAAATGATCTGTTCTATGGGTTGTATGAGTTTGGCGTTCTATAGGTTGTACAATTGTGTCTTTGGAGACAATGAAGACGTTCTATAGGTTGTACGACGGTGTCTTCGAGTCCGAAGGAGACTTTTTTTTTTTTTTTTTTTTGTT